CCAAATGATCACTCTCTATGTTGATGTTATTGTTGTTCAGTGCCGTCGAGTCATAGGCGACTCATTGGCTTACAAGATAGGTAAATTTCCCAAGTTATATATCCTGTGGAAAAGCAAGTATTCATACCCAGGTCTAACACCAACAATCACCCCAACTCAGTGCAACTCTGCTGCTTTACTATTTAGTTGTGTACTACAGATTGGAACTGACTCACAGTTGACCATCCAGTGAGTTTTCTGAATAGTCAGCCCTGTATGCTCAAAAAAAAAAAAAAAAAAAAAAAAAAAATAAACATAAAAAATGGTGCGGTGCCTAGTGGGTAGACAGTTGTGCTGTCAACCCAAGGGCTGGCAGTTCTAATCAATCAACTGCTCCATGGGAGAAAGATGGTCAGTCTTCTGTGTTTTTTGTTGTTGTTATGTACTGAGGAGGAATGTGGCATCAGGATTTAAGGTAGACTCCTTAACAACCAACATTATGCAGATGATACAACCTTATTTGCTGAAACTGAGGAGGACCTGAAGTGTTTGCTGCAAGGTCAAGGACTATAGACTTCAATATGGATTAAAGTTCAACACCAAGAAGACAAAGATTCTCATCACTGGGCCAATTGGCAGTACCATGATGGAAGGAGAATAGACTGAGATTGTTAGCAATTTCAGGTTACTTTGTTCCACAATCAACACTCTTGACACCAGCAGTCAGGAAATCAAAAGATAAATTATACTGGGAGGATCTGCTGTCAGGGACCTCTCCAGAGTACTGAGAAGCAACAATATCAGTTTAGAGACTAAGGTGCACCTGATCCAGGTCATGGTCTTCACAATTACTTGTTATGCATCAGAGAGCTGGACAATGACTAAGGAAGACAGATGAAGAAGTAATGCTTTTGGGTTTGTGGTGAAGAAGAACTGGAGAAGAGTTTTGAACATACTATGGACCATCAAGAGAACAAATAGGTCTGTCTTGGAGACGGTGAAAAAAAATGTTTCTCCTTGGAGGCTAGAATTTTGAATCTCTGTCTCATAATTGTTGGGCATGTGGCCAGGAGGGACCAGTCCTTTGAGTAAGTGAGACTGGCTCAGGACAGGGCAGGATTCAGAGCTGTCATACATAGGGTCTTTATGAGCCACAGGTGACTCGACCACACATAATAGCAACATGTGTTGTTGAGTTTTGAATTATGCCCTATCCTGAGCCAATCTCACTGTCTTTAACATAACTATCCCCATTCTTCTAGATAATGTGTTGATGTGTGATTTGTTGTTGTCTCTTTGTCTCTGATACACTTATGCTTATTATCCCAGTTATTGTGTCAATCCATCTCATTTGGGGTCTTCCTCTCCTGTGCTGTCCCCTTCTCCAAAGACTGGTCCCTCTTGGCAACATGCTCTAAGTATATGAGACACAACTTCAAAATCCTTGTCTCCAAGGAACAACTGTCTCCAGGACAGACCTGTTTGTTTTTTTGACAGTTCATGGTATGCTCAATGTTCTTCTTCAGCACAACTCAAAGCCATCAATTCTTCTATCACCCTTGGTCATTGTCCAGTTCACTGGTGCATAGCAAGTAATTGTGAAGACCATGGCCTGGATTGGATGCACCTTAGTCTCTAGACTGACATAATTACTCCTTAGCACTCTGGAGAGATCCCTGACAGCAGATTTTCCTAATGTAATTGTGTTTTTGATTTCCTGACTGCTGGTGCTAAGCGTGTTGATTGTGGAATTGAACAAGCTGAAATTGTTTACAATCTCAATCTCTTCTCCATCTATCATGAAGAGTGCCAGCTGAGTTGGTTTTGACTGCATGAGTGAGAATGTGAGATAAAGAATGTAAAACGTAAAGAGATTGAGTATGACATAAAAGTGTTTCAAAGCAAGTAATTAAATATGAAATATAATCTGTATAAAACTACAGTTAGTCTAGTTATTTCCACAGCTTTTCACTGAATATAGTTAGGGTTTACTGAATCAGCACTCATTTTGAATTTAAGTTTATAGAAAGTTCTTACTGGTTATAGGTAGGAATATATTATTGAAAATATAGAAAAAGTCATATTTATAAACACAGATCCACTATGAGAAATATGTAAGCTGTCTTTTTCCCATTTATTTTATTTCTTATTAATTTTAATGAAAGTTTACAGACTTTGGATTTCCATTCATTGTTGCACTTTTCTCCCTGCCCACCTCTTCCCCTCAATTCACTCTTCTCTTTGAAAAGTAACATTCTTTCATTGTTATACAATCCCTCCCCCCAAGTCCACTCCATTATACTGCCTTCCTTCTGGACTCCTGTCATGACAATAATGCCTAACCATATATCCCTTTTAAACACTTCTCTCTCATCTGTTTCAATGCAGTATAATTTATCCCCTCCTTCTCAGTCTCCCCCCAACCCCTATGTCAGTCCTCTTGTAACAGTGGCATTATGCAATATTTGTCTTTTTGTGACTAAGATATTTCACTCAGCATAATGTCTAGGGTCACCCATTTTGTATTTCATGAGCTCCTTGTTTTTCAGTGAAGCATATTGTGTGAATATACCACAGCTTCTCTATCCATTCCTTTGTTGACCGACAAAATGTTTCCAACTCTTTATTGTGAACAAAGCCGCAATAAACATGGGTGTAAACATGGGTGTGGTAAGCTGCCAGTTGCCTGTGACTCACAGCGACCCTATGTACAAAAGCACTAAACTCTGCTCTATCCTGTGCCAATCTTATTGTCTCTGACACACTTATCACCATTACCCCAGTCACTGAATCAATCCATCTCATTGAGGGTCTTCCTCTCCTGTGCTGTCCCTCCACCCTCCCAAGCATAATGTTCCTCTCCAAAGACTGGTCCCTGCTTACAATATGTCCAAAGTACGTCAGACAAAGCTTTAAAATGCTTGCCTCCAAAGAGCAGCCTGGTTTAACCTTCTCCAGGTTGAACCTGTTCATTCTTAGTAGTCCATGGTATAGTCAATACTCTTCTCCAACACCGCAGCTCAAAGGCATCAATTATCCTTCTAACATCCCTAGTCATTGTCCAGCTCTCTGATGCATAGCAAGTGATTGCAAAGACCATGGCCTGCATGTGGCACACCTTAGTCTCCAGACTGACATCACTGCACTTCAGTACTCTGGAGAGGTCTCTGACAGACGACTTTCCCCAATGCAATATGTCTTTTCATTTCCTGGCTGTTGGTGCCAGTGTTGACTGTGGAGCCAAGCAAACTAAAGCTGTTTATAATCTCTATCTCTTCACCATCCATCATGATACTGCCAATCGGCCCAGTGGTGAGAATCTTTGTTTTCGAACTTGACCTTCTGCAGCAAGTGCTTCAGGTCCTCCTGTTTCAGCAAGCAGGGTTGTGTCATCTGCATAACACGGATTGTTGATGAGTCTTCCTCCACTCATGATGCCACTTTTCTCCTCAAGAACCTAGCCTCCTTGATAATCTGTTATGCATATAGATTGAAAAGGTATGAAGGTAGGACAAATTCCTGGCGTATACCCTTTCCAGTCTTTCCTTGCTCTGTTCTGACTGCCTCCTGGTCCAAGATCAAGTGTTCTGGGATTCCCAGTCTTCTCAGTTACCACAATTTGTTGTCGTCCACACGGTCAAATGCCTTTGCATAGTCAATGAACTAATTATTTTCATTTATACCAGAGTTTGTAAAAACAAGAAAGTCGTGCTATCTGAGTTGTATTATATACTGTGAGAGCTGAAAAGGCATTTCTGAATGGCAAGTAGTGATGAGGCTATTAACGCTTAGACGTTCACAAGTTAGATGCCACTATTCCAGGAAGACCACAGAGCTGTGAGCAACAGAAACTTACACACTATAGATCCCGCTTAATAATTTTTCGTCATTGCTTTCTCTTAGAATGCTATACCGAATTACTGATAAAACGCAAACGAAAATTTGGCCCTAAAGTTCCAACAGACCTGAGGTTGTCAGCTTTGGTCAGCAAGCAAGACCACGCAGGCAATTCTCGATTTCCTCCAGCCTAGGGTGTAGGGGCGGGGGTTGGGAGGGGGTGTTAAGGGACTTTTTCCTTTTCACTTTTCGAGAGAATGAAGGAAGAGGCTGCAATCGGAGGCACGCGGCGTGCCTTAACATGCTTCTCATGGAGGCCAAAAATCTGAATCTTCTAAAGGCGGAGATCTGGAGCCGTGCGCCGCCTCCGGGCCACACTACCCTTAATTAGGTTTTGTGGGATTCGAGTTCCCCGAAGCGCGGGATTTCTGGGCCATCTACTAGGATCCCTGTCCAATGCCTCCGCGGTCATGCCAAGGGGTGCTGGACCTCGCCTTTGCTCTACCGCCCCCCACCCCCTCCGGAGTCCATCATGTCCGACGAGACATTGCCCGCACCCTCCATTCTCTGCCTCTATTAACTAGCACAACCTAACTACATATTGCTCCTTCCTAGGGACAACCCTTTCCCGACAGACAAGCCCAGCAGCCAACCACCAACTAGAGTTGGCATTTGTCCTGCTCGGTCATTGGTGGCCTCGATGGGCGGGGCCCAGCCAGATAGCAAGGTGAGTGGAGCCATGGCTGACGTAAGTCAACAAAGGTCACGTGAGGCGAGTCGGTACGCCGATTGGCGGCGGTGACCGGTGGGGAGGAGGGTGTCATAGCAGCGTGGGGCACTCTGTGACACAATTACAACTTTGTGCTGCTGTTGGGCAAGTTTGTGTCTCTTACGAATCACCCGTCTATGCCCTAGCCCCGCGCTCTCCGGCTATTCCCGCCGTCCCCGCTCGTGATTGTCTCTGCCCGCCTCCGCGATGTGACCCTGCAATCGAGTCGCCGCTTTTGCCGACCCGGGGGCTCCTCTGCCGCTGCCTTCACCGCTGCGGCGTTGAGATTTTTCGTCGCTGTTGCGAAGGAGGCAGATAAAGTTGGTGTGCTGGTCCCGCGCGGAGATTGGGGGCATCGTTGTGGGTCTTTGCTTTGGGGGGGGGGAAGGTTTCTGCTTCGGAGTTGTAAATTCGCTGCATTTCCATGAAATCCTGCGGAGTGTCGTTTGCTGCTGCCGCCGTCGCTTTTGGTGATGAGGAAAAGAAAATGGCGGCGGGAAAAGCGAGCGGCGAGAGCGAAGAGAAATCTCCCAGTCTGACAGCCGAAGAGAGGGAGGTGCTCGGCGGGCTAGATAGGTACGATTTGCCATCACCCGCTTGGCTGGCTCCGGACGGGCTGGCGCCGCTCTTCTGAGGGACCTGGGCGCATCTCGACTTTGGCGGCGGCGGAGCGGGCACCTAGGCTTGGCGCTGTCTGCGCCGTCGCCACCTCCAGCGCTAGGCCCTCAGGCTCGGGCAGGTGATGTTCTCGGAGCGTTAACGAACTGCATGTGTTTCTCCCCACAGCCGACTTTTCGGGTTCGTGAATTTTCATGAAGATGGCGCCAGGACGAAGGCCCTTTTGGGCAAGGTAAGGCAGCCTCGGGCCAGAGCGGGAATGCGGTCTCCCAGGCTACCCCGCTCACCCGGGCCTCTTAGCCCTGCGGACGGGCAGAGGTTCATTGTGGCCGCAAAGGATGCCCGAGGGCCTTCCAGAATATTATTTCCAGCTTCTACTCTCCCCCTACTCCACATATTTTGCTCCTTCTCTTGGGAACTCACCCTCTCTCGTAGCTTGAGGAAGCGAGGCGTTAACGCTTTGAGGCCGGCCTCAACTGGGTAGACAAATATTACAGCTTATTAGGCATAAGCCAGTGATCCCCAAAGTGGCGATTTAGATCGTAAATATTAAGAAATATTTTTACGATTTACAGCTTATTAGTTTCTTGGGGTGTTTTATTTTTTTTTTGTTCAGGCAAACAGTTCGTGATGTCTACAGCTACCCAAACGTTTTGAGTTTTATTATATTCCTGCTCCCCACAGGGTGAAGTTGCAGGTATTTTAGAGTGGTTATTGCATTAGCTTGTTGACATGTATCTCGACAAGAATGTATTTTATCTGAAGTTAGGTGACTTGTTTACATTTTGAGGCCTGCTGCCGTAGAAATTCTGCAGTTTTTTGTAAATGTGTTTTCTTCTTGGAAGAGCCATATTTCCTAAGTGTTTAACGGGATGCCGGGAAAATTCAGGTTGTAGTCTGTTTGAGTTGAAAGTTGTTGGCACTGTCATTTAGTTAAGTAATGGCTGCTTCTATCAGCCCAAGATGGCGGGACAGGGTGGGAGGAGAAAGTGAGGGGGAGATTGGAGGAGGGAGGAGAGGTAAACATGGAAATAGATAGTGGCGATAAATAGGCCTGTCCTTTGGGGTGTGTTACTCCATGGTGTTTAATAACAAATATCCAGATTATTTATAAATAGAATATTTGTATATTTTCTGTGCTTGGAAGCAGCATTCAGAAACCCCTTGTAAATGCTTTATCAACCTGTAGCACAATTAGTTACCCATCTATAAGCATTTGAACAAAGACTGGGAGTTTCTGCATCATTTTGTATTTCCTGACTAAAATCTGATTGAAATAATATTTGTATGCTTTCTTCTTAGTTGGGATCATGAAACTTGGAGGGTGTGCAATAGGTTTTGCGACCATTAGATAATTTTTTTTCTAGCTGAAAGCTGTAGTTTTGACACCTAGTTGTGTTGTTGCAATTTGAAAAGGAAATTTGAAATGACTGAAGTCTTTAATTTTATTCTTAAATTTTTTTTCTTATTTGCTTATTTTATTGTCCTAATATTTTTTTCTGTAGTTTGGTTTAGCAGAGCCTCTTAGTCTGTAGTTACACTTACAGCTTCATTTAAAGGTAACCAAATATATGGGGTTTTGGTAAATAATGATCCAGAAATGAAACTTAAATACTTCTTTCCATTAAGCATAATCCCTTTGATTGATAAAGAAAACTTGTGTAGATATTAACTAGCTTCATTACAAATTATCTTATCAGTGTAAAATAAAAAAAAAAAATCTCTGAAAAAATAGAGTAGTGTCTAGCGTTGGAATGTTTTTGAGGACCCATGATAGTTGGGGCCTGCCTTGAAATTTTCAATCCAGGTTCTTAAGTTTCTTAGCAAATTGTTGTAAAAGTTGTCATAAAATATTAACAAAAGCTTTAAGTTTTAATGAGCATTAATTTTGAATGATTATTAGTGTATTAACAGAATTGACAAAGAGAATTCTTTTCAAAAAGTTTGGCTAAATATATTACTTTTGATTATGATAGTGAATAAATGGAATAAATATGATAAGTAAAATAAAAATGATGGTGAATAAATGGGACTTGATATTTTCTGTGGATAATGTGTAAAATATTGACTTCCTGTCTCAGAATACACATATTTAGATGAATTCACTGTGCATGATGCTTTCAGATTGTAATGTTAAACACAGCAGGTAGATTTACATTTTAAGTATTTTTTCTAATAAAGGTGTGCATTTTTAACACTTAAATACATTTTAAAAACAAGAAATTTGCAAAGCTTTGTTAGCTTCACAAAATACAAGATAATTAGTAACTAAGTATTTTGTTGAGCTAACGAAAAAAAGAACATTACTCAGACAAAATGCTAGTAGAGTTTTACCTCTTAGATGGAGACTCATTAACCTTAATTTTAAAGTCTTTGTTTTAAGTGCAATAAAGTATTTTAGGGGGTGTGTGTGTGCAGTCTCCTGCAGTTGTTGGTCTGCCTTGACATAACATTGAAATGTATAATGTAAAGAGAGAGCTATGTTGGCCTAGTGGAAAGGAAGTTATGCTACCAAGCTGAAGGTGGGTGATTTTCATCTGCGGCCCTCGGCCAGGTTCAAATTGTTTTCCTTTCAAACTTTCTTCTAGGTGGTATAGCACTGGTCTGTGCGTTGCTGTACAGAGGTAACTAGTGGTTGTTGTGATGCTGAAGACTGTGACAGTGATGTGTCAATCGTGGTAATGTGTACCCACGGTGGACAGTGTTGGCTGGAGCTTCTGGACTGAAACAAGCCTGGAAGCAGGAATGGCGTCCACTTCTGAAATGGCTGGCCTCCGGAAACTCTATGTACCAACAGTGCTCAGGCTGTTCGTTCATAGGGTCGCAAAGCTTAACATTACATAAATTCTTCTGTGTTTGAATTGGATTATAGATAGCTTAGATGAGCTGGAGTCCAGTGGCTGTAAACCAAAGAACAGCTAACACTGAGTTGATTCAAATGCTTTAGTTTCATTTATCTTTTTAAAGCATTGAGATGGAATTGACTTGATGGACGTAGATTTGAGCTTGGGTGTTTGGGCAACAGTGTGTTGGAGGTTTTTTTGGGAGGGGATGTGTGTGTGTAATGTTAAGCTATTGTCAGTTTCAGAATTCTTACTCTCTAGTCTTTTAAGAGTAAGATTTGATTTTTTTTTGTCTATCAAGGTATATGCTCAGGCTACATCCCTATGGGGAGAGAAGGAATAGAACAACTCCTTGGATTTATTATTTTTGTCAAGCTTTCGCCCCCCCCCCCCCCCCCCCCCCCGCCTACAATATGGATTGAGGCTCAATGTCAAGAAGACAAAGATTCTCACCACTGGCCCAATCGGCAGCATCAGGATGGATGGTGAAGAGATTGAGATTGTACACAGCTTTAGTTTGCTTGGCTCCATAGTCAACAGTCTTGGCACCAGCAGCCAGGAAATTAAAAGGCGCATTGCCATGGGAAAGTCTGCTGTTAGGGACCTCTCCAAAGTGCTGAAGAGCAGTGGTGTCTCTCTGGAGACTAAGGTGCGTCTGATACAGGCCATGGTCTTCGCAATCACCTGTTATGCATCAGAGAGTTGGACAATGACCAAGGAGGATAGAAGGAGAACTGATGCCTTTGAGCTGTGGTGCTGGAGAAGAGTACTGAGAATACCATGGACTGCTAGGAAAACAAATAGATTTGTCCTGGAGAGGGTTAAACCGGGTGGCTCCTTGGAGGCAAGGATTCTGAGGCTCCATCTAACTTACTTTGGACATGTAGTGAGGAGAGACCGGTCCTTAGAGAGAGACATCATGCTTGGGAGGGTGGAGGGACGGCACAGGAGAGGAAGGCCCTCTATGAGGTGGATTGATTCAGTGACTGGGATAATTGGGATGGGAGTATCAGAGACAGTGCAATTGGCACAGGACAGAGCGGAGTTTAGGGCTGTTGTACATAGGGTCGCTATGAGTCGCAGGCGACTCAACGGCACAATCGCCCCCCCCCCCATAAAAGTGCACTTCTATAACTTTTCCTTCCTTACCCTTTCCTCCCCTGCCCCTGCCCTCTCCCCCTCCCCTTCCATTGTGATTTTAATGAAAGTTTACAGAAAACTTTCTGATAAGAGTTTATTTGGATAGAATTGGATAAAAATATTTAGAACTCTTAAATTCATAAAGCTTTGGAAAGTTTAAAGCATTTAATTAATACTGCTTTCTTATCTCCAAACATTTATTCCTTTTCCAGGCGTGATGAGGATGCTTTATTCAACCACTGATTTCTCTTGGTTTTGGAATTTTATTATTTTTTTTATATTCACTCTGGGATTCCCATTCTTCTGTAGGTTAGCTACCATTTGTTGTGATCCACATAGTTAAATTTCTGCCTTTGCATAGTTAATGAAACAGAGATAGATATTCCTCTGTATTCTCTGCTTTCAACTAAGATCCATCTAATACTGGCTATAATGTCCCTACTGCCATGACAGTAAACTCTAAACTCAGTCTATATATCTGGCAGTTCTAGTCGTTTTTCCATAATCTTCAGAATCTTGCTTGTGTGTGATATTAATGATATTGTTCAGTAATTTACACACTTTATCAGATCACTCTTTTTTGGAACGGGAATAAATTTGGATCTCTTCCAGTCAATTGTCCAGGTAGCTGTCTTCCAGATTTTTTTGGCACAACCTGGTGAGTGTGTTTGTTGAAATATGTCAGTTGTTACGCCATCAATTCCTGGTGCCTTGTTTTTTGCCAGTTCCTTCAGAGCAGCTCAAACTTCCACCTTCATCACCATTACCTATTGATAATATGTTGTTTCATGAAATTCTGTGTCAGTCAAATCTTTTTGGTATAGTGATTCTGTGTACTTCTTCCATCTTTTTTTGTGCTTTAATATTCACAAGAATATCTTCAGATGGGTAGAATAGTCCCTTAAGAAGAATAGTAAAGAGTAATTGTTATTCAAAACCCTAAAAGATCTCAGGGGCTTGATCTCTCCAGGTGGGAATATTT